ATATTATGAATGCTGAAGATGGGAGGGACTATTTTAGATTTAATATACTCTATTTCTCTTCTACTTTTAGCATTACTAATTGTAATACAATCACAAATACCTAATTGTGACTAAAAAAGACCAAAACCTAGGAAAAACAGGTTCTAGACTAAGAATGTCATGTAAGATTTTGAATTGCAGAAACTTCTTGTTAAGGATTTGATAGTGATGAGGCAGCAAGTTTGTTTCACCTCAGTTGTAAGGTTAGAAGGAAATAAATATTTACTCATATTCTGAACTTTATTGCTGTGTATTTTAGAAAGGCTGACCACATGCATAAGTATGTGTACTTTATTATTCCATAGGCCAGTAGATATCCAGTGAATTTTTATTCCTATATTTAACTACAATGTTTTAGTTCCTTTTAACAGTTGCAGAACTTCAAAGGCTATTACAGAATTTTTAAACTGTTGCCTGCTTTGAAGAGAGTGGTGAAAAGTTTTGGATACATTAGAGTGATTTATGGCATATTGTCCCGATCCAATGTCAGGGGAGGTTTCAATACAATCCCAAGAACGAGATTAAGACACAAACGAGGTCAAATGCTGTATACCCAAAATAGGTTTTTATTGTTAAAAAAGTGAAGAGGGGTAGTGATAGGACAGAATAGAAGGAAAAGGCAGAAGTAAAGCAAGAATAGTCACCACCACGGATCCAGCGGTGTCCGGTTGGTTCTAAATCTTCAGTTCTTCGGTGGTGGGTGCACCCAGATCTGGCTTTGATGGTAGATGCACAAAGAGCAAGATTTTCTGCTGCCTTTTTAAGTACCAGCTGATCAGCATATCTACTCGCCTTCAGTTTTTTTTCCTCTGGTCCAACAGGTTTTTTTGCATCCAGTGTCAAGGGCAGGCATGTTTGTCTCTTATCAGTTCATTGGCAATGCATGCATGGAGTCTGGCCTGCACAATAGAGCCACAAACGGCTCCAGGATGGGCCCAGCTCAGTCCATGTCTGCCTCTTTGAGGCTTATGTAAAGAGTCTGGACGATGCAACCGCAAGGAAGTGGGGGGGGTGCATCCTTCAATACACTCCCGCTTCTCTGGGCAGCATCCCCCAGACCGATCCACAGGCCGCAGCAGCTTCTCTTGGAGGTCTGCACAGACACAAGCAAGCTTTGAGACTGTCAGAGGACATTCAGTCTCTCACACATAGAGATACAGTTTTGTTTCCTTGCTCTGTGTTTCTTATGAAAATAGATATTTAAAAATAAAATAATACCCAACCCCTAGCCTACCTTTTATACAAAATGAAAGGTTTTGATTAATTAAATTAACTCTGGACTAAGTTTTGGCATCCAATGATTGAAAGTATATATGACAATAATATATTACCTGATTCCATTAAATACTGTTAATTGCAGTGATCTTTCTAAGATAAGTGCTTCTTTCTCCTCCTCTCCTCCGAACTCCAACTTTAAAGCAAGACAGCACAGGAACTGTTTTATGCTTTGTGAAGGGGATTGGGAATAAGGAAACCTGCTTCCTAGTCTGTAACTTGCTATTCGTTTCTAGTAATCCATTTGTTAATCTCCCTTTGCTGTATATATGCTCAGTATAAAGAAAAAAAAGACTAATTAAGAAATATGCTGAGACCTTTGGAAGAGTTAAAAAAAAATGAAATCACTTACATTATAGCTTAATTTTCAATTTTCCCATTTAAGAAGAAAATAGCTGGTATTATTTATTTCAGTGTACACTTAGCACAGTTTATATGGGCAAACTGAAGATAATGAATTAACAGAAAGTGTGTTTAGTGAACAAAATGTTCCAAATTGGTTTTGGCTGAAATTCCTGTTGTTTGTTTACCTGCATACTTGATTACCGTTCCTTTCTTTTTCTGCATATTTAATTGCTGTCTAATTAATTGCTCTGTTGATTTCCTACATAATTAATTATTCACTAATTAATCATTGATTCCCTGCATAGTTAATTAACTTATTGCTTATTTGATTTTTACACTTAATTGACCATAATTCATTGCTCTATTTCTACACCACCTAATTAGCCACTGGTTAATCAATTATTGTTTGCTTACTCCTTAACGAGTTGTTTAGGCCCATGATCTGCACAGTTTATCCTCTGCTATCTGACCTCCATTTCCAGTCATTTTTCCTAAAATAATTTCTTTACTCAGTTTTGTTTCTATCTCTCCTCTGAGCAAAGAACATGAATCTTCTGCATGTTCTCCAGACGCTTTCTGCACCTTCACTAACACTCACATTGTTCTCTGCCACCTGGTCTGTTCACTTCTGGTTTTGTTCTAGCTTTACTTCTGTTTGATGGTTTGTGTAATCGTGGACTTTAAACAAGCAGAGGGACTTTTGGGGATTCTTCTTTGCTCTTCTGCCCATCTCCAAGTCCTCACTGGGAGAAGTGAGAGATAAAAATGGTGTGTAAGTACTGATTACAGCTGTTCAAGGAGGAGACAGGAGATACGAAGCAGTGAGCGTGAACTTTTAGGGAAAACAGCTAGCAGGTCAGGAAGCAGAAACAGTGGCAAATAAAACCTCAACATGGAAGTGTCTGCTGAATAATGGAACTTCAGTGTTCAGTGTTAGTTAAACCTTTAGGTAAATGCTCATAGGTATTGTGGTGTGAATCTTAAATGTGCATTTAGAAAAAACAGTTGTCATCCACTGGGTCAATAACAGGCTTCATTTACTTTAAAAAAAAAACTAGAGCAGAACTAGTTCAAAGGATTCAGTTCAAAACTGATGCAAAGGAACAGTTCTGTTATAAACATACTGCAATCAGAAATGTGTGTGTGCTCAAGACAGCAGGATGCTCTTCTAAGAACACATTGAGTGTATTATACATTTTACATAGCTGCTTGTATGTGTAGTATAGAGTATCTTTCAAACAACAGGAACAGTATTTGTGTTGTTTTTCAGAGATGTTTTAAAAGAGATGAAGACATATCTTGCTTTTCAGTTTTGAGGTAGTTGTATCTGAATATTAAGATGCTTTAGATGTAAATAACTGTAAAAGAGAGCTAGCTCTGCTTTTCTTAACATCAGAACACCGTAAAGGATTTTTCTTGAGTGGGGGGAACTGTATAATTAGTGTGTCATGAAGGGAGGGGAATAATTTTGAATAGGGGTAGTGATCTTTGTTTTGAAAACAGGTCCCAAAATACAGCCTCCCTGTTCTTTTCTTCCCAGATTCATCCGAAAGTTCACAAAATATCACTTTATTTCTGTACTTAGCTGTCAAACCTGTAGTTTGGTTTTATACCTCCAATAACATTGGTTGTTCCAGTTTCATTTCAGTGAACGTATGTCCCTAATTTTCCTTAGGGAGGAGGACAGAGAAACCAATCTGTGGTCCAGGAGTTTATATATATAGTTGAAGAACAAGCGTGCTGTTAAAATTGCCTCCTGGATGTTGTTACGTTTCATTGGACACCGAAGGGGGCAGGAACTGTTGAAAAATCAAACCATTAAAACAAACGACAGTGGTTTTAGAAAGCAAACAAAGTCCTGTGAATTAACTCTGCCGGAAGTTTGTGAGCTTTTTTTAAACTCTATTTTCTGAATTGCTAACTTTATATTAATCCTTCTTTATTGTTTCTTACTCTCTGGTGGCTTTGCTTTCACATCACACCTCTAGTACCTGTGAATTAAAAAAACCCCATGATATTTTGTCTAAAAAATTCTAAAGATTTCTTTTTAAAGCATCGATCAAGGGAAGTTTTAACAAAATTCTTCATTTGCTGGTGCTTTGAAGGTTTTTAGTTTATTGTTTGGGTTGTTGTTGTTGGTTTGTTGGGGTTTTTTTTTGAACCAACGGGATTTTTTCATAAACTTGTATGTCAAAGCATATGAAATACTAGATGTTTTGTTAGTGGTGAATGTTAATGGTGAATGTTAACACTGTCTCTGAGGCTGATACAACATACTTTGTTTTGAGAGCAAAACTTTTTTCCTCCTATTCCTGCTCATTTTTCTCTGTGTAAATGTGTCAAGATGAGGCCTGATATTTTATTTCAAATATTGGGATAAAAGAAGAAAAATCTTTGTGTTTGTACAGCTCTTAAGTGAATGGCCAGAAGGAAGACAATGTCATTGCTTAGCTGTCATGTGGTGCAGCATTTTGTGGTCTACAGTGCTGCAGATGTTTTGACTTTCCTCCCCAGTCCTTCATTAGTGGCAGAGCCACATCTAATGATAAGTACCCCTGAAACCATACACTTAATGTTTTTAACTCACAGTGTATACTCATGGTAACGTGAAAAGGCAGAAATGACACATCAAAGTATACATTTTTCATAAAATATATTTTCTAACAAATGTTACTATAGTGAAGGAAAAGTTCCCTTTTATTTTTATTTTATGGTATTTAATTCTTCCTTCCTTCTTTTATTTCTAGCACTTACACAGGTAATTTGAGAATTAGACTTGTTTAGGTGAGGTAATTAGAAAGTTTAAGTTCATGTAGGAAAGAACAGTGAGGTCTGTGAACATAAATTAGGATTTGGAGCTCAGCTGTATTTCAGAACTGCTTTGTAAAGGGTAAAATAATTTTTATTTATACCAACATGATAGACAGCACACCTGGACAGTGACTTAATATCTTATATAAATTTACCATATGTTTGAAAAAATACCAAGTTGTAATGTTGCCTGAGGCTGGAAGGAAAAAAAAGATCTTAATCTATCCTGCTTCCTTTTGGGTCTCGTTGGAAAATTTCCAGGATTTGAGCCAGAAAAAATTTTTTCCTCTCTGAGGATCTGGGTAGAAGTTTACTCATTTCTTGAATTAATTCATTTTGGCATTTGTTATGAATGTCTTCATTTAATGGTGTAACGTTCTTCATTTCAGCTCATTACTGTCTCTTAAGTATATGGAGTTAACTGATAGTTACTGTGTTAGCTGAACCAAAATCTCAATAACTAGTGGTAATATAAATAAACAACTTAAATTTGGAAATATTAACTCCTCATTTTTAAACTTATTTTTCAGGGATCAGTTCCATCTTCATGTGTAAGCTTTGTAACTTATTTTCACCAAATCAGTCCGAACTATTGTCTCATGTCTCTGAGAAGCATACAGAAGAAGGAACCAATGTGGATGACATCATTATTCCCCTCCAACCTCTAACAACACCCACAAACTTAAACAAAGATGGAGAAGGTACATTCATAAATTAAGAGGAATGTAATTTTCAAAGTCGTCTACATTTTTAATAAAACCTGTGGTGTGATGATTCTGCATTGTGTATAAAACAATTTACATAACTTGTTTTTATAATGGTTGCTGTACAACTGCCACCCTGAATTTCATTCACTGCAGAATAGATCGGAAGACAGATGTGGATAAACTCAGCATGTGATAGGGGATGATGACACTGGTCCATTAATTTTAAATGTCAAGTATAGCAAAGTCTGCTTCCTACAGCTTTAATTTTAGCTGTGTAATAGCAGTGGGAAGATTATGTAGCAGTGGAAAGCAACCAGGACACCATGGAACAGGGTGTATCTTGAGCTTAAGAAGGGTGGCATGCTTTTTGAGTTGTCTAACTTGTTTGTTGTGATTCAGATAATATTAATAGTTCTAGTCCAAAAAGGGAGCAGCATGGGTATTGTACTTTGATATTGGCATTGGTAAATAAAGCAATCTGGTATTTTAAGTTTGAATTTGTTATACAGAAGAATTTTACTCTGCAGTGGAAGAAGTTGTATTAATTCAATTTTTAACTGATTATAATATTACAGTGGGTTGAAAATAATTCAGACTGCATAATTATATCTTCTTTTAGACTATTACTGAGCAGTGGATTTATATAGTTGGCAAACCTCTTACTTAACACAACTACTAGGATTTTCCAATCATTATGATTTCTGGATTTTAAAAACTATATGCTTATGAATAAAAAGCACTCTAATACTTTAAATAATTTTTTTATCATTAGCATATGCATGTGATATTTCCTCATTTATTTACCAGCAGTAATTTAGTAGTTATAACTTCAGCAACATAAGAAGATATTTCTAATAGTGGTCATATAGTATTCAACTATAGCTGCTCTATCCTCTGGTAGTTGGTGAGGAAAAATTGCACCAGATTATTATTTCACACAATTAAAATTACCAGTGCATCAGAAGAAGATGAATAAATATCAGATGTACATCAAGTTTTAAAATGCAATTCTAGTTTTATTTTAATTGTGCAGAATGAATCTCACGCATGCAGAATGCATCTTCCTTTCTTAAATCTTTGTTTCTTGTTATCTCTTCACTAAATTGTATTTCTGAGCACAGCGGGACTGGTACTTTGTAACATATTCTTATTCCTCTTAGTAAAAAGGCTCTTCTGTAAACTTTTTGCATTTGTGTCAGGGATTGTCTCCACTGTCTGTATTGTATGTAAGCATGCATTGTACATTTATGAGACTAGTATGTAATTTACCATTATGATCTGAAGCAACAGAAATTAGACATATGCAGCTTTTAAGAAAATAACTTTGCAAATCTAATTATGTAAAATATAACATTCATATGTTAAGTTAAATATTCATAAGTTACCTTTTTTATTATTCTTGGTGAACACTTCATGGTCTGATCTGATCAGACGGTACCACCTTTTTCAGATTATGTAGCCCAACTCTTTGCCATCTGCTGTTGGTAAGAATGTCAAGGTAAATTATTTTCACATAGATTTCAACTTGTATTCTAGACATACTTTAATATTTCTTCTTTCCCGTCACACAGATTGATCAGAGAAGAGCGTAGTCTATTCTGAAGTCCTATTCAATTATTTCCTTTGTTCTGTAGAAAAAAATAGGGCATTTCACAGTTGAATATAGGAATTTGGATAGTTCTTCTTTGAAGGCATCAATTTTTTCCTGTCTGTTATGGAATCTGCAGCAGATAAAACTTTTAAAAGTTTATAATATGCAATTTTTTTCTCAGTGGACCCTTCTTTGTAGTAATTTGATATTGTCATTAAAAGGATAAGTGATTGATGAAGGACAGTCTTAGAAATTGCAACTTCCTTGTTGACTGTTTAACATCTTTTTATCCTTTGAAAGCATAGTTTTTCTTCCAAGTATTGGTAAACACTGTAGCTGCTCCAGAATTGGTATAGACTTAAATGCTGAGTTAATGGAGCTCTTTGTTCTGCCTGAGTAACAAATTAATGATTTTATAAGTACTGTGAACAAGTAAAATGCTAGGCAAGTAATATGTTTATTACTCTAATGTTATTTTATTGACAGTGCTCTCTGCTGAATTTTATTTAGACATGCCACTTTCCCATAGTTAAGTCACAATCTATTTAGAGTTTATTTGTCCTATCCGTTTTCATAGGATGATGTTAGAATTTTTTTATTGAGTAGAACCAAGGGTACCAGGCAGATGTTGCTGTTATACAAATTATGCATATCACATTTTGTTCTCTCTTATAACCCAGAAGACATATTTCATACATCTCCCATCTGTGCTATTCAAAACACCCCCCCCCAAAAAAAGAAACCAAACCCAAAAACCACCAAACCAACAATTAAAGCAGAAATTCTGAGAATATCTTTTTATTTTGACTTGCATTAGCTGAAACATGCATGAGATTTAAGTTTGCTTGCTTTTTCCTGAGCATTAAAAACATGAGTTCTTGGCAAAATTTTTGTATGTGCCAGTCCTTAGTCTCTCTCTGATATTACGAAGATGATGGCTGACAGGTGCTTCATGCCTGTTCTATTTCACTTAGCACATTTTAATGCACATTATACTCTGGGGTTTTTTTGCCGTTATGACAACTCTATCAAGCTCTTTTACTTTTTAATTCTCAGAGCTGAATTCACTTCATGTAACTGAAGGGTCTTAAACTGGGATCTTATTCATCCTGGGATCCGGAGATGATTTAGGCCTTACGTTATCTGAACTGCGCTCTGAAGAGTAGTTTCTCTGTTCCTTCACTATAGAAGACAAACATTAACTAATTTGAGAGGTCAAGTGTCTAACATAAGATGAAGTGAATCCTGAAAGCCTGAAAGAAGCCTGACTCTCTCCTGTTTCTCCATACACCATCAGGCAAGCTCTTTTAATAGAATCATAGAATGGTTTGGGTTGGAAGGGACCTTAAAGCTCATCTAGTTCCAACCCCCCTGCCATGGGCAGGGACACCTTCCACTAGCCCAGGTTGCCCAAAGCCCCGTCCAACCTGGCCTTGAACACTGCCAGGGAGGGGGCAGTCACAGCTTCTCTGGGCAACCTGTGCCAGTGTCTCACCACCCTCACAGTGAAGAACTTCCTTATCTCTAATCCAAATTCCAGTTTAAAACTGTTACCCCTCATCCTATCCCTACACTCCCTGATAAAGAGTCTCTCTCCACCTTTCTGGTAGCCCCCTTTAAGTACTGGAAGGCTGCTATAAGGTCTTCCTGGAGTCTTTTCTTCTCTAGGCTGAACAACCCACACTCTCCCAGCCTGTCTTCATAGGAGCGCAGATTGCTGACTCATACTTAGTTTTTCACCTGCTACTACCCCCAAGTCATTCTCCGCAGGGCTGCTCTCAATCCACTCATTTCCTAGCCTGTATTAGTGCTTGGGATTGCCCCAGCCCATGTGCAGGACCTTGCACTTGGCCTTCTTGAAATTCATGAAGTTCACATAGTCCCACTTCTCCAGCCTCTCTAGGTCCCTCTGGATGGCACATCCCTTCCCTCCAGTGTTTCAACCGCACCACACAGCTTGGTGTCATTGGCAAACTTGCTGAGGGTTGTGGCAGGTGCACCCGCCCAATGAGAACAGGGCTTCTTGGCTGCTGAAGTGCAGCAGCTCGGGGCTGCCTTTGCTCTCGGGGCCTCACGGTAACTGGGGCCTTTGGGCAGTGGGAGCCGCTATTGACCACAGGGCAGATTGGGCCTGGGGATCGATGGAGTCCCCTGGGAGCCATTTGGAGCTCGTCCCCTGGAGCAGCAGCTGCGTTTGAGGGCTCTCCCCTTGGGTCAGGACGCTGCCCAAGGAAACTCCTCGAGGGGCCTTGAGTCAGGACGTTGCCCTGAGCAGGTCCTTGAGGTTGAGAGCCCTCACTTGTCAGGTGAGTGATAAAGCGTTTTGAGTTGTCCTTAAACCTTAGGTAGCAGGGCTTTGTAAAGCCTTTGGGGTTGTTGTTAAACCCTTAGGAATGAGGCTTTGTTCACCATTTTGGGTTGCCGTTAAACCCTGGAAAGCTATGCTGTCTTCCTCTTACAGACATTTGAACCCGTAATTTATGGAGAGCTACTTAATTGTGTTAATAATAATTTTTTTTTATTTTGGTGGTTGGTTGTTTGAGAGCATCCGTAACAATTGGCGTAGTCGGCAGGATATCGATAGAGGAGATATTACAGAAATACAGTTGTGCCCCTTCTCCCCAAGATGTGCAGTGGGCAAAGGAGAGGTGGTTTGATCCGGTGGAAATTGCGAGATAGTTGGAACAAAGCCGGGGAAGCTGGTGGATAAGCAGAAGTGAAGAAAAAATGTGTGCCATGTTAGGTGCCTGCTTGATTCAGGCTCAGGATTACTTTGTAATGGTGGAGAAAGATGCCTTACAGGAGCGGTTGGAAATTGATCATTTAAAGACAGAATTATTACGAGAAAGAGAGAGAAGGCGGTTATTAGAAAGAAAAATTGAAATTATGCTGGCTCGAGCAAAAAAGCCTCCTAGTGTTGTTCAAATTTGAAAGTTCATTATAGGTATAGATCTTGAGAAGTGGGATGGAGATATTTGGGGAGAATCTGATGGAAGTGGCTTGGAGGGACTGGAGGAAAACCAGGTGTGAACTATCATTAAGACAGAAAGGCACACAGGTCCACAAGGTGGGAAACCCCGATCCACGGTCTGTACAAGCCCCTGGACGGGAGCAGAGCTCGGTGAGCTTTAGGTTAAATGTTCACGTAAGCCGGGTGAAAATGAAACTGAGTATTTGTGGAGAGTTTCTTTAACGGGGGGGGGTGTGGGTTCAAATTCAATTGAGTGATGACGAGGCAGGAGGTTTCTGGGGTCCCGGAGTGGTTTTAAGTGATGGACCAGTGGGTAACCAGTCGATAACATCTCGAGTGGCTTACTGGGCTGGGGGTGTGGACCCTAAGGAGAGGGGAGAACCTGTAACCATTAAAGTAAATGGGAGGTCAGAGCTGGTGGAGGGAGTACAAAAGGCCGCTTGCATTTAGGCGATGTGTGAGAGGGGGTGGTGCGGAATCCCGCTTGCGGTGCCGGTGGATCCCAGCTGCTATTGACCACAAGTCAGATTGGGCCTGGGTATAAATGGAGTCCCCTGGGGGGGGGGCATTTGGAGCTCGTCCCCTGGAGCAGCAGCTGCGGTTGAGGGCTCTCCCCTTGGGTCAGGACGCTGCCCAAGGAAACTCCTCGAGGGGCCTTGAGTCAGGACGTTGCCCTGAGCAGGTCCTTGAGGTTGAGAGCCCTCACTTGTCAGGTGAGTGATAAAGCGTTTTGGGTTGTCCTTAAACCCTAGGTAGCAGGGCTTTATAAAGCTTTTGGGGTTGTTGTTAAACCCTGAGGAGTGGGGCTTTGTTCAGCATTTTGGGTTGCTGTTAAACCCTGGAAAGCTATGCTGTCTTCCTCTTACAGACATTTGAACCCGTAATTTACGGAGAGCTACTTAATTGTGTTAATAATTTTGTTTTTATTTTGGTGGTTGGTTGTTTATTTGAGAGCATCCGTAACAAGGGTGCACTCAATCCCACTGTCCATGTCACTAGCACAGATGTTAAACAGCACTGATCCCAACACTGACCCCTGAGGAATGCCACTCATCACTGCTCTGCACTTGGACATTGAGCTGTTGTCTGCCAGTCTTTGAGTGTGACCATCCAGCCAATCCCTTATCCACTGAGTGGTCCATTCGTCAAATCCATGTCTCTCCAGTTTAGAGACAAGGATTTCTTGTGGGACGGTGTCAAATGCTTTTTGATGCTTGCTAATTTCCCCTTCTGTGCAGAGTAGATGAGATACTTCACCAGATGTCTGCTCAGACTTAAAAAAATCATTTAAATGCTACCATGTTTTGCTGTTAGTGAAGTGACAATTTCTTGCAGAAAAGCCAGTTCAAAGTAAATAACTAAAATTTATACAATAACAATCAGATAATTCCTCGGGAAGCACTCTATAAAGAAGTAAAAAGACAAGCAAGCAACCCCTGAGATGAACATGAAAGATAAGAGACCGATAGAGATTGATTCTTTTCATTGTATTAAACTATTAGATAGAGGTAACTTATAGCTAGGATTAAATATCCTATAATAACTTGATCACTTTCTGGAAATTAACCCCCTTACCTCTGAGTATCTGCTTTTGTTGATTAAAAGTTTTCTTGAGAACTTATTGGTTTGGTCAATGAAGATAATAGTTATATCTGTGAATGGAGAATAATAAGTTGGCTTTTGAAGTAGCTACAGCAGTGATGAGCGAAATCTCAAGCAGGAAATACAAGTGTTGAAGTTTTTTATGTTGTCATGCGTTTCTGTGTTCACTACATCTCATTGATTTTATCAATGTTCACAGAAATACAAAAATGTAGAGTTATGTTGTATTTATTAAGAATCATGGATGACTTCTGATTTTAATTATTTGAAATGCTCATTAAGGAAACTTTTTTGCATGACTTCCGGAATTTATTTGTTGGCTACAATGTTTTATACCAACTTTTGGCTAGAAAGTGCTAAAAAGAAGCACAGGAAATATTTGAAAGTAGTTGTTCAATTTATTCAAAGGACAATGAACTTTTGGTTTTAAGAGAAACTGGTTTTCTTTAATACATCTCAATTCTTAAGCAATTTCTTTGAGAGTTATTTAAATTAAAAAGGCTTTTTGTAGAGTGTCAGAACACAGCAGAGCAACTTCGTAGAATATGCATGCTGATACAGTTATATAACAATTGAAAGAGTGTTTGCAGTGCAATTTCTGTAGAACTGTGGCACTTTGACATCTGCCAATCTCAGTAACACAAATGTTATTGCTCTGCAGCTAGCAGAAATGCCGGCAACTACCACTGCTTAAAAATAAGTTTGTGTGAAGCTAAAGCTTTTTTTAAGCTTTAGGGGTAGAGGCTCTCAAACTTCATTTAATATTCCTGTTTTTCAAAGATCACATGAATATTAGCTAATCAGCTGTGGAATTTTAATTATAGCTTCTTTCTAAGTTTGACTTTTTTTTTCCCCCTAGAGCTTCTTGTGGTGAAGAGGAAAAGGGGCAGACCAAAAGGGTCTACTAAGAAGTTTTGTGTGGATGAAGATGTGGCAGAAAATAACCCTGCTCCAAGTGAAGAAACTCCACCTGGGACAGAAGAAGGACCAGAACTGTCTGAAGTCTCACCAGGCAGCTTGGAATGTAAGAAATGCAATCGGAAATTCTCCAACACACGTCAGCTGAGGAAACATATCTGCATTATTGTTTTAAATGAAGGAGAGGAAGAAGGAGATGGAGGTAAGAAAATATCTGTCAAAAATACCTGAAGTATGTTGTGAAACTCTTATTTCCATTCTGTGACCTGGCTGGTAACAACTCGTAATCCCCAGTGTTAATTTTAAATGGAATGTAATTATTTGTTTCTTTTATCACAAAAAGCACGTTGAAGCAAAACTGAGAATAAAGTCACACAAAGTATTTTAATTTTTTTCAAAAAGGTCAAAATGTTTATTGCTCTAATGATTATCTTAAACCCCTTGACGTTCTTCCTTTGCATAAGCAACTGTTCAGTTTCTCAAAAAGAGGATTCTAGTTTTCCAGCGAGAGGTGGTATATGTGTCACATAGGTAAGTATCACACAGAGGTGAGGGAGGTTGATCCTGTACAGGTGTTTCTATCGTGTGACTTGGGAAACCTCACTTCTGTCCTGTTCTTTTGATAGATTTAAGGACTGCTTGTCTGGATGGCATGTTTTTACTGTATAAAAAATTATGCCAAACTCATCTCTGTTTTACAAATCATGTGAATGGCTGTCTCTGGAGTATGAGTTTGTTGGAGTATGAGTTTGTTGTTTTAAATTTTGTTTTAAGATTGCTTTGAATATATTCAGCCTGTCAGAGTGTTGCAATAAAATAGAATCAAACAGAACAGAGTATTTTCAGTTGGAAGGGACCTACAATGTTCATCTAGTCCAACTGCTTGACTACTTTAGGACTGACCAAAAGTTAAAGCATGTTATTAAGGGCATTGCCCAAATGCCTTTTAAACACTGACAAGCTTGGGGCATTGACCACCTCACTAAGAAGCCTGTTTAAAAAGACAACAGTGACTATCCATAGAGAGAGAAGAGAGAAAAGAGGAGAAGGGAGGGGAGTTGAAAGGGACCTACAGCAGTCATCTAGTTCAACTGCGTATTTAACATTGGTCAAAGGTGGATGTCACATGCGTACAAAGTAATACATTTGTCCAAGTTATTTATGTGAGTTTTTTGTTTGCATTAAAATCAAATCTTTGTTTTTTCTATAGTTGCTTATCATGTTATCCTGGTGATTCTAATTGTAGACAAAATTTGCTATTGATTTTTCTTCAGTTTTCTGTTACCCTTTTGTGTCCAGTCTATCATTATGATACACAACTAGTATGACTATTCTTCTTTCAGTGTGATGTAGCATTTAACTGCTCTGACAAAGACTAATTAAAATGGGCTTAGAATACGTTGTCAGAGAACAGAAACTCTTGCTTTGATAAAGTACATCGTTATTTTTTTACTATCGTCAGTGGTAGGATTTTACAGCTATACATAGTGATCTTTACTCCAGCTGTTTCATCTCTGACATCACAAATGTCCATGCCCTTTGCTGTTTGTATGTACTAGGTATGATGTTAACATTTGCATTATTTCAGCAATGTTGCCTTTTCTAATGTCCTTTAAAAGTCAAATCTCATGACAGAGCATAAACTCAAATTAAGTGTTCTTGACCTGTTAGCTCATTAGAGCTCCTAAACTGTATCTTGATCTGTTTTGCTGCAAAACACACTCGATTTTTTGAAGTAAATTGCTCATCCTTTTCTTTCTTTAAAAAGAAAATAGCCTCTATTTTGGGCAGATGAAACATTTTTTATTTATTCTCTGGCAAAAACAAAGCAGTCAACAAAGACAGACATTTTTGAGCAGCAGATAATAAGGGCTTCCAGTTGTTAGTGACTAATGGAGCTGGAATGTCTCCAGCCCAAAGCTTCCTACCTTGACTGCAAACTATGAAAGTATTGGGGGCTGTTTTTATCCTGAAGGAATAATTCTTCCTTGGAATACATCAGGGGAATTCAGTCTTTAGCCATCTACTGATTACTGTTCCATCACAGGAAAACTTCATTTCTGACTTTACCATATGAACTGCTCTGGGACAACTTTTCAGTTTCTGACTACGTAGATGAAAGTAGCATTCATATTATTACTAAGAAAATGTGATTACACTGAGTAGCTCAAAACTTTCTGAGGAGCGGACAAGAACAGTATGGCCCATGCCTAGGATTGTTTGTCATACTTGTGTTGCTTTACGGGCTCAGAAAACTTGTACTTTACAATTTGAGCTCTTGGAGTTGAATTATTATCAGACTCAGTTTTCATTAAGAAGAAAGTTTTGAGAGTGATGGGTGATTCTAAATGTGAACAAAAAATTCTACAATTGAAAAAGCAAGCAAATAATGAAATTATGAATGTATTTTTATCTGTTCATGTAATTTCATAAGGACCTTTTCATAATTTAAAAATTAAGGAAAATACGTACCCAAATGCACCAAGAATTTTAGTTGTCAAGGGCGTTGACAGTCACTGAACTAGAGGTTTCACCCATATCGTTGGCACCTGAAAGCTGTTAAAACTAATTAATTATCTAAGTGAATTACAAAGCTGTCTGGTTTTCTAGTTTTCAGTATGTTCTGTGTTACTGAGTTTAAGAGCATTATTACACACTCTGTGAAATAGTGGTACTTCTGCTTGTTTCTTAAACCCAATGATGCTCATTTCATTGGATGCCATCTTACTCTGTAACTCTGGGAAATGGAGAATAATAGTTCTGTATAACCTCTTGAATAAGGTTAATAATTTAGAAGTCTTCATATTTGCATATATTCTTGTCCCATCTGAGTCTTAAGTAACAGACTAACTAGAATATATGTAAATTGTTTATGCATCTGATCAGTCTTAGCAACTCTGCTGTAACTGTTCTGAATCACAGAATCACAGAATCATCTAGATTGGAAAGTTCTTTGAAGATCATCTGGTCCAAATGGAGGACCAGAACTACAAGTGGTGTTCAAGACAGAAGAGCATCCCTGGTTTATACCATGGCATAATTTTTTTTCCTGTTCTACTCTTTTTTTAATGATTTCTCAGATTGTGTTTGATTTTCTGACTACTGCTAAGTATTGAACTTATGTTTTCAGGGAACTGTTTGAAAGACAGCCACATCTTTCCTGTGTTGTAAGAGTCAATTTAGAGCCTATTGTTTTATCAGTACCGTTTTTTTTATTCATGTGCTTTGCTTTGCATTTATTGTCACTGTAGGTGGGAGTCTGTTCCACGTTAGCACCTGTCTGCATATATGTGTTTAGGTTTTCTAAGCTTTAATTATACTCAGCAAAGATCAAGTCGGTATTTTAGGCGAGGCTGTGGAGCAGCATAGGGTTAGCTGAATTGCTCGTAGGCTCCACTGACTGTGATAACTAGAGCTCTGTCTATAGTGGTAATTTAGAAATGTAGCTTGTGGGTGCCTTAATCTGGTTTAATTCCAGGTTATTCTGTCACCAGTTACTGATTATTGAGAGATGATTCTGTAACTTCACTGTCATGAAATGGTGTTGAATCTGAATGTATCATACAGTGCTGTATCTGTCTCAGCACATAGTACACAAGTATTACACCAGGAATTTATTTTGTGTCCCGGGGGTTTTTTGTGTGTGTATAATGTTCAACCAGTGTGCTTGGTGCCACATTTTCTAGAGTAAACTCTCTCTGAGATAAAAACTTAATGAAATTACACATTTAGGTGTATATGAGAAAAGGATTACTGAAATTTCTAATCTGGTGAGATTTCTCTACTGCTGACGTTCTGAGAACTAAATGGAGAATTTTACTGAAGGTCTTTAAACCTTCCAGAGTTACAATCTCTTATCTCATTTCAGACAGAGTAATTCAGAGTAGATGGCTAAAAATCATAGGGAACTTTGACTGCAAGTTCTTCTCCCTTAGTCTTTGACATTTTGCCTAATACATATGGGTTGTTTTTTTCCCCGTGTTTGTCTGTCTTTCCAACTTTAAATGACTTTTGTTTATTTTTCTAATGCTTCTGGGATTTTTATGTAATTAATATTAATTATTAATATATTATTGATTAGCAATCAAGTATGTTTTCACTTTGCACTGGGTCTGGCTGGGGTGGAGTTAATTTTCTTCATAGCAGCTCATATGATGCAATGTTTTAGATTTGTGACCAAAATAATGTTGATAACACGCTAATGTTTTAGCTATTACTAAAATATGCTAAACTTATAAATATTGAAAAGATCTCTGTGATATTGTTTATTGAAAGAAGCATGATGCATGTTTTGAGCTGAAGTTGAAACCTTAGGAAAGGTTTCCAAGGAATAAAATGTTTTGCTGTCTTTTATAAATCCACAAGGGAAGTGATGAAATCCTTACCATATTGGACATTTAAAATTACAATTAGTAAATCACTATAAAACTGTATTGAAATTGCAATATGTGTTGGTTAGAGGAATAATTGGTGGATGTAATAGGGCTCTGCTGTTCTTTGCTTCTGTCATTAGTGATTGACATCGACCTCTGAGAGATCAGTGTCTCATTGATAGTACTCTCACTCTTTCAGGAGTCACCAAGCTTTACCTGGTTACTGACACCCTCTGTGAATCTAATTTAATCCTTTGATGCATAATGACTGCCTTCACCTTGTGGACCCATTCACTCAAACAGCAAGAAAAAAGTCTTAATTTTATGCTCAGAATTAAAAAATACCCATTGTGCTTGTAAATCTCCCTTGTACATTCTTAGTAAATATATTTTACATTCTTAGTAAATACATTTTTTGAACAGAGGGCTTATTTGTCTAAGAAATTTGCTGTGATTTAAGTAGCACTGTGTGTACACCTACATCTGGTTTTATTTGGTTAAACCAAATTGAGGGTTTTGGCTAATGATTTGGATCTGGCTGGCTGGTGATACTGCCATCCATTCTTTTTGTCCTAAGACAAAACTAGAGAAGAGTTGAGATTCTTCCTGAACAGCCACATGTCTTCACTGTGTCTGCTCCCAGCCAGGAAATGGAACTGCTTCAGCCTCTGCTGCTGGGATGGGATGGGTTTGGGGATTTTGGCTGTTGCTGGATTGGATCAGTTCCCCAACAGCTGCCTCTAAGCTTACTTGTTTTGAGCAATAGACAACAGGTAATTATTTTAACCACCATCCCTTTCCTGCACTGCATCATACCTGAATCTCTGTC